AGACCAAGAATCAAAGGGTGGAAAATATATATCCAACAATAAGAAAGGAGCAGGAGAAGCAATATTAACTTCTAAAATAGACTTGGTGCCAAAAACTAGCATAAAAGATCAAGAAGAACACTATTTTTTTAGAAGAACACTTTAGAATGATTAAAGGATTAATTGAACAAGAGGGCATAGTCACAATTAACATCTAGGCACCACACAGAAAACCTCAAAATATGTAAATCAAGTTTTAACAGAAACAGACAACTCCACAATATACCGAACAAACAAACAAAAGCCCCACACTGCCATTGAGCTGCCCCTAATTCCCAGCAACTCTAGAGGGCAGAGTAGAACTGTCTCTCCATTTCCTGAGGTTGTCAGTCTTACAGGAACAGCAAAGCCTCATCATTCTCCCACGAAGGGGCTGGTGGGTCTGAACTGATGACCTTGCAGTGAGCAGCCCTAAGCATCACCCGCTATACCTCCAGGGCTCCTTCCACAAGACTGTAGGAAACTTTAATACCACTACTTTCAGTGGAGGCTACAACACCTGGAAATAAACTCAACCAAGACAGAGGAACTGAGAAACGCTATCAGGCAACTTGACCTCACAGACAAAGCACGCCACCCAACAACCACCCAGCACGTGCTTTTCCAGCACACGGGGAACATGCTCCAGAACAGACCATGTTGAGCCACAAAGTAAGTTTCAATTCATGTCAAAACACAGAAACTCTACACAGCATCTTCTCAGGTCTCAAGGCTGTGAAGTTATAAATAACACCAGGAAGATCAAAAGGGTGGAGCTTAAATGCACGGAAACTACACAACGCCCTGCTCAAGCCAGGCTGGGAAGAGGGCAGTGGGCTTGTAGCAAGATGAACAGTAACACTTGGCAAGTACACCTGAGATCAAGGACAAAGATCAGAAGCAGGAATGGAGGAGGGCAAAAATGGTGACAGAGGCAGGAAGTGGGATTGTGGTGTCACATTGTAAGAATTGCTGAATGGGAAACTGATTTGCTTTGAAAAATCTTCACCCAATTCACAAGGGAAAAACAAAAACAAAAAACCAAGAGGACAATGTTGAGGTAGGCTGTGGGACCTACCTTTTAGCTGCACCTGCTCGTAGAAGACAACAAAAGCAAAAATCAGAACTCAGAAAAATCAAATCCTTTTGTTCATCAATTAACGTTAAAGAAAAGACAAGCTACAGATTAGGACTGCCAAAAGAACAAAGAAATCTGTCTCAAAAGAAGAGCTGTCCGAATGTTTCTTAGAAGTGAGGAGGGGGAGACTTGGTCTCTTGTACTTTGGACGTGTTCTCAGGAGAGCCCAGTCAGTCCCTGGAGAAGGACATCATGCTTGGTAAAGGGGAGGGGCAGTGACAAAGAGGACAGTCCGGGACAGGAGGATGGACCAGTGACTGCAACAATGGACTCCAACAGAAGAATGGTGGTGAGGTTGCATGGGGTTGGGCAGGGGTTGCTCACATTCAGAGCCCGCCCCGGCCACCTCAAAAGGGAAACGGGTAAGATCATCCTACAACTTAACAGTCCACAAATGCCTAAGGAAAGCCAGCGGAAACCTTCAAACGTGTGCTTAACATGGTTAATAAAAAGCAGGGAGCCCAGCTCTCCAGGAACTTTATTCCCTGGGAATCAGGTGTCTTCTGAGAGCTAAAGCTTGCTCTCGGGAAGGTGTGGGGAGACGATGGTCTACACCTGCTCCCACGCTCTTTGCCCTCACTGACGCACTGGGCTGTGAACAACAAGGGCGGCAGTTAGAAACCACCAGCTGCTCTGTGGGAGAAAGATAAAGCTGCCTGCTCCGGTAAAGAGCTGGAGGGGCAGTTGACTCTGTCCTACCCGATCACTGAGTCAGTCGGGATGGCCCTGATAGCACGGAGTTGGACTTTTCAGTAACTTTTCTCTTAAAAAACAGAGAGGCTCCTAAAGGCCAACAAACAATCCTTGAACTAACTACAAGCTTTTCTTTCTTGTTGTGTTTTGTTTTGTTCTTTGTCAGTGGTTTGTTGTTGTTGTTTTGTTGTATATTGTTGCTTGGTTTTGCTCTGTCTTGTTTTTGTGCATGTTATTATCTCTGCAAGTCTATCTAAATAAGATAGGCTGGGTGAACATTCTGGAGGAGAAAACAATGGGACCGACAGTTCCGGGGGGACATGGTATAGGGGGGAGTGGGGAGGAAAGGAAGTGGTGTTAACAAACCCAGGGACAAGAGAACAACAAACAAGCAATCCAAATTGGTGGTGAGGTGGGTGTGGGAGGCCTGGTAGGGCATGATCAAGGGTAATGTAACAAAGAAGAAGTGCTGAAACCCTGGTGGGGACTGAGTATGATAATGGGACAGGAGGAAAGTCAAGGGAAATAGAGGAAAGAGCTGGGAGACAAAGGGCATTTATAGAGGTCTAGATAAAGACATGTACATAGGCAAATATATTTATGTATGAGGATGGGGAAATAGA